TTTTACCCGTCCTCTGGAACTGCATTTAAGTTGGCAAGAAGAAAGGCTTAACTCTCATCTTGTGTGCTCTGGTCCATTCGATAGAAGCGTGATCAGATGCATATTCCTGATCTACATCAAACTTGTGCTGCTGGTGATCTGACAGCGCGCAGACCGTGACCACACCACCACAATGACACTTGAAATTCCCAGGTTTTTTTGCAAGGCAATAATGAAGTAGTGGGTTGGGCCTTTTTTTTTTTTTCCTTGTATTCCTAATGTGGGTTAACTGAGTTCAGTGCAGCTTGTTGCATGCCAGGCTGTTGGGTTTTTCTGTCCCGTGAAGGATTCTGAAGTTTCACTGACACTTCTCATAAAAGTAGGTTTCTGACCAAAACTTTCCCTCGGGTGTAATGTGGGTTGTCCATTGGCCTCTGCCCCAGAGGCAGCTGCATTTCAGCGGTGGCATATATAATCAAGGAAGCAACCCAGGAGTCTTTGGAGTGAAAGGTGATATCTCATCATTAAATATTGCTGTATAGTCTCTGGTGCTTTGTGGTGAATGGTTTCAAAAGGATGGAGTCTAAAGAGGCTTCCAGGATTTCTGATGTTTTGCAGAGATTAGGAATTTAACTGTATGTCACATGAGAGAACGTCAGATCCAAAGGCAACATGATAGACGTGGGGTTCGAGAAGATGCGGGCTCCACTTCACATTCGCTATGACACTCTCAGACTTGTGCCTCAGTTTCCCCTCACTTGAACTTGTTCAATAGAATTTTTTTTTCTTTTTCATTTTAAGGCATTTAGGACTCTACAGATAAAACAAAAGCAGTCTCAGTAGCTACAGTCGTGGCTGGGATTAGTGTGCTATGGGATTTGGGTAGCATCTCTTAGTATTGCTCCAAGCTCTTTGCTGGTGCCTCTGGCACTTAAGCAAATCAGAGGAGTGGCACAAACGCCGGGCAGCTGAACCTGGTTTGCTTGCATTTGTCTAATCAGCATTTACTCGTTACTAATGCGGTTGCTTCTGCGCTTAGGGCAAAAGCCATGCCAAGTATTATACCCACTTTAATTTAATGGAGAATCCCAAATAGGTGGATTTCTCCCCCCTTACTATGGGCTCTCACTTCTCGTTTTGTCCTCAGCAAATTTTCAGTTTAATCACTTTATAGCCCTGGCATCTGAATACTTGCAAGCATGAGTAGTTGCCTGAGGCAGGAGAAGGGAGAGTATTCAGAACCCTTAATGGGAGACATCTCGTATGACCTGAAGGGAGGTCTTGTACTTCAGGTCTTTTCCTCCAGAAGTGTTTGAGGTACCCAGAGGAGCTGATAAGAAACATGTGAGCAGCCGTAGCAAGGCTGAGCAGGCAGGCGTTTGATTATTTCTCCGTACTTATCAGAGGAAGCGTGAATCTCTCCCTAATTAAGAGCTAATGCCAACTTCTGTGAAATTTGTTGTCATTCACCTGTGAATTATCCTCCTCAAATTTAACTTGACTGCTGGAAGCCTGCTAGTGGTAACACTTTCCTCTGGGAGATTAATTCGGGTGGTAAAATGCCTCTGTAGTTGCTTATTGAATGGGATTTGATGCTGGTGAACCTCTAAGGTCTGGAAGGGCAGTTTGGGTGAGCGCTTTAAAGTCTAGACGGCTGTTATCTCTCTTAAAATAGAGCTAGAGTTCTCCTGGAAAATCCTCTTCCTCCCTAAATTTCAAAATCTGCACACTGCCAGCTAAGGCAGAAGAGCTGCTGGAGGAAAAGTGTTCATCACTGTCCCTTCAGTGCTTCTGCTCACGGGCAGAATGGAGAGGGGAGATGGGGAGGTTTCCAAAAGAGGTTACACATTCAGAAACCTGAAGTGAGGTTTCTTAATTACTCAAAGTGCAGGTAGTCTGCCCAAACAAGAAAGACGAGAGTATAATGTCCCTGCACCCAAGTCATTTAACTATTAACCCTGGAGGAGAGTAAGGGGATACCTAAAACAATGACCCAGTTAATTCTGCGTGGCATTTGAGCGCTGGGTTATTTGTTGCTACCTGTGAGTCTGGTGATATCATCATCTGCAGGCTCTCAGCAGAACAGGAGGCCAATATTTTTAAGTGGGATTTTAAGGTGGATTTGGCATGAACTCACCTGACATTGGTGTAATGCAATGACTTTATTCATCTGTTGCTTGTTTCTGCTGTCCTGGAGGGACATGGCCAAGCAGGGATGAGTACTTGGGCAACATGACCCAGAGCTTGGACCCAAAACACACAACCAGACTTTGGAGCAGAAACCTGGCTTTTCATTCACCCTCCATAAAACATTACCCAATGACTCGAAACCTGAAAGACCCTTTCCAGCTCAGAGCCATGAGTTTTATTTCACCTCCCTTTCAACATAGGGTCCCAAGTGCATTGGTTCATTACGCCAGTGGCTGTGGTCTCCTTCCTTGCACCCTTGGTGGCTGTGGACTCATCCTGCTACCCTGCCTGCTGAGCTAGATGCTGTCTACCAGAAGCCTTCTCTTTTTTACCAGCAGTGAGAGAGGTTAAAAGCTTGTGGGCGGAGGCCAACACAGAGCGCCCATTGTACATGCGTGCATACCAGAGCAGTAACTCCGTGGAATGCTGCACTGCCGAGCTTTTACCACCTTGTGTTTGTGTTGCAGCCCAAGAGCGTGTGTACATTGCGTCCCTCTCCAAGGAGATTAACAATACAAAATAGCAGATAAATAGGATGGCCTTTTTTTTTTTTTTTTTTTTTTTTTTTTTTTTTTTTTTGATTGGACCGGTTGGAAGAGGAAAGTAACCCTGACTCCCATCACCTCCATAGGCACAAAGGAGAGGCAAGGTGCAAGGTTGGTCAATTAGGTGGAGCAGCTCCTTGCAACTGGGTGGCTTTAATGTACTAATTGTGTTCGTAATTAGCAACTACCACATGGTAAACACTTGGGTTCGAAACTATGTAAGGGCATTATCTAACCCACCCTAGGTTTGAATGAGGTAAGCATGATCGTTGTTTCACAGGTGATGAAATGGAGGCACTTACTGACCGCAGGGTGAGTCAAGGCCGACGTGCAGGAGACCTTTGGTCTGTTAGTTCTTCGAGATCACCTTAAATGAGACTGGTGACAGCAGCTCTGGGAAATGAGTCCCTTCCCTATTGCCAGAAGGTGTGCAACTTAAGTATTAGTGTTTTTATGGTATACTTCTATCTACTGTGAGCTACAGAAACCATCTCTAAGGCCAGATGGTAGTTCAGGCTCCATGATAGTTCTTCCTTTGTTTTTTTTTTTTTTTTTCCCTTCCCCTGCTTGGGCTGTCAGCTTGTTCTATTTATGGGAAGTTTATTTGAATTTGTGTCTGCTGGGACCTGGGTGGAGGTCACCCAATGATTTCATGGAGCTCTAGGATGCTTAGGACTTTCCATTAGTAGCCATATGTGCCAGGGTCAGATAAATGACCCATGGCCGTACTCCAGCAGAAATGTGGATATATAGCTAATGAAAGGTGCTTGTTATTACTTCTTTTTGAATTTTAAACTCGCACAAGGTATTTTTTTTTAAACAATAAGCCAGTGGTACAAGGACATGTCATTTTTCTTGGTGAGCTGTTCTTTGAAGTAGTCTACACTGATAATGCTGTTATGATTTGGTGATAAGTAGCAAGATCATTTTTGTTTCTCCTTTACAGTTTATTGCTGCTGAGAATGACCTGGGAAATCCCTGGCTCTGCTCAGATCTTGCTTGTAGTTGTTCAAGGGGTGGGCTTCGGTGATGCAACAGAGCTAATCTAGCAGGCAACTACTGCTGAAGGAGCAGGTCTGCACCCCCAGCACCTCCTCCTGGCTGTGACTTCTTGTTTCCTTCTCGGTATGCCAGAAGTGATACTCCTCTAACCCACCAGGGAGCTGTTTCTGCTAAAATAGCAGAAAATGTCTTTGTTTCTCTCTGAGATACTCTTCTGCTAATTTTGTAGCCTAAACTGGCTTGCTATGATGGGCGGTGGGGGGTGGCTGTATGGAGGATTGTAGGGAGAGTGTATGAAAGCACCTTAACACCTCTAAAAACACCCTACGTGTATTTTTTTAAGCAAATATTTGGTATTTCGCTTAGCCTTTCTATGTCATTGGGTGATACATCTTTTGCCTCAGTTGAACATTCACAGCTTCTCCCATTAACTTTGGCCGAGATTTTGTAAGGTACCGAATATGAGTGCTTCCATCTCAAAGGGTTCAATCTGCAGTGTTTTAAAGAAAACCCGCATTTGAAAAGATGAGAGCACAGTCTTTGCTTCAGTTGACCCAAGCCTTTGCCACAGAGAAGTGATACCCAAGGCCACGAGGAACTCTGGAAAACATTGAGTTTAGCTTTCCTCCATCATCCTCGATACTGGAGCCCCTGATATGCCCTGCAAGAGACCCAGGTGGATCCTCTTGCACTTCCAGCATCCCAGGGCACATCTTGGGCTCCAGAATGTCTGTGCCTGGCCCCGTGTGTAATGAATAATTCATCCAAAGCAGAGCTCCCCCCCAGGATAGCTGACAGCCGAGGGCATCTCTCTCTCACCTGGGAAGTGGGGAAATAGGGAGTTTGAAACTCTTCTGCCTGATTCATAGGGCAACGCCATGTTTTCTGTGCTCTGATCACTGGGTTATTGTTTAACCTGTTAAAAGAGCGTCTGCCTCTTTTTTTTTCCTTTCCCCTCCCCCCCCCCCAAAAAAAAAAAACAACCCTGTGACAGTGAGCACTTTGAAGTAACGAGGAGGTTCATGGGTGTAGAAGGCTGGTTGCCCCCTCATTTACTTCCCAAGTCCAAAGTTGAAAGCATTTGCATTTATACACCGTTTTTGTTTTGTTTTTTATATATATCCGTATCAGCCCTCAGAAATTGGTTCCCATTTTGTGTCATAGAAGACCCTTGAGATGCTGCAGGGGAAGCCCAAGCGTGCCCTGTTTCAGTCATCTCCATACTCACATTCGATACCTGTGCACATGCTAACTTCCTTTTTTTCCTTCTCCTTTCTTTTGACAGTGGCAGATTTGTTCTCTTCTGAGCTCCTTGCAGCCTTTGGGCAATTGGGACGTTGAATTCAGCAAACAGTTACCATTCATTCCCTGGGATCGTACCTACCCTTGCTCTCCTCATCCCCTCCCGTGCTCCCCTTCCCTCTGATAAAACTCCAGGGCGTTGCAGTATTACTATGGAGCCCAGGGAGACTTTGGGCAGCTCTCGGCAAAGGGGGGGTGAGGCAGACTTTCTGCCAGCCTCCGTCACCTCCGCAAAACCTCCGTCTGCCTCTGGCTGCACGGGGGAGACGATGCTGCCTGCGACGGGCTCGGGGAAAGGGATCTCAGTAAGCGGCGAGAGGCTGGAGCCTGAGGAAGAGGATGAGCTGGGTTCTGGGAGAGACGTGGATTCCACTTCCAACGCGGACAGCGAGAAATGGGTGGCGGGAGATGGCCTGGAGGAGCAGGAATTTTCTATCAAGGAAGCTAACTTCACGGAGGGGAGTTTAAAACTAAAGATCCAGACCACCAAGAGAGCTAAGAAGCCCCCAAAGAACTTGGAGAACTATATTTGCCCTCCTGAGATCAAAATCACCATCAAGCAGTCTGGGGAGCAGAAGCTTTCTAGAGCTGGGAAAAATAGCAAAGCAGCTAAAGAGGAGGACAGATCACACTCCAAAAAGAAGGTAAATCCTATTCTTTCCCATATTTCCCCTTTCTCCTGAAAGCAGAGGGAGAGGGTAGGGTTAAACGTGCTCAAACAGTTTGTGTCCAAGGCACAACCTTTGCAAGGTTTGTAAAGCCCCACTTGGTTTCGGAGGACTAATACGGAGCGTGTATCATCCTGCGCTGCCGCGTACGCTGCGGGGATGATCTTGAACTATCTTTCAGATGAACCAATTTGGAAGGGATCAGAAGTTCAGCTGGGCCTCTTCTATTTTTCTGCGTAATTGAGATTTAAGATTAATCATTACATGAGTGATAAATGAAGAAGCCCACTTCTAAACTGCTTTGTGCCTGAGTGCTAATACTTGAGCCTTTTGGCAGTTAAAGCTTTCAACTGCATTTTTAAAATACAGGTATGTGCACGGCAATCAATTCCTGTACACCAGTAGAAGGGCTCCATTATTCTTCATTACAGCATTGTGCTAGCAACACTATAGTTATGCTTCAGAATATACTTCCATTATAAGTCTCATTTTCTTCCAGATGCATATCATTTTCTTGAAATATCCTTCTGGAGAGAAGTTTTTAGTACTTTGAGTTTGGGTTAAAATGGATATTTTTTTTATTTTTCACTTTTAGTCAAGGAGAGGAAGAGGGAAGGGAAAAGAAAGAACATGCTTTCTTTGTATGAGCTGGTTTCAGGAGCACCGTTTTGTTTTGCTGTTGGCTTGATTTTTCAGTAATGTCCCCTACTCTTAGTCTTTAAAACAAATTTTGTTCAATTGTTTTGAGCAACACTGATGGGGGAAGGGACACCTGGTAACTGCTCATGTTATTTTCAGTGTAGTGGTGGTTTCTGTCCTAGGTATTAGACAAAGGAGCTTTGGGCGGGTTGAGGCTTTATTACAGGACAAATACTTCACCTCTGCCTCTTTAGTAACACATGGGCATCATGATGAGTTCAGATAGGAAACTAGATTTAATGAAAGACTCATGAGTATCTCCAAAACCTAGACAAATTCATCTGAGATGTGGGCATCTGCTGATTAGAGCTCAGGGCATAACTTGGCTTTCCTGCTCACGCAGTTTGGATCCCTCGCTGTGCGGAAGGTACCCATTTCTCCCATACCTTATGTACTTGATGGATGTTCAAGGGGCTGTATGAAACCTTGAGGAGGCTAATTACCAATGGCTCTCCCTGGAGACAACCTTCTTGGCAGACTGACTTAGACCAAAATTCAGATAACGCTAAATCACTTTTTGAACCGTCAACATTTCCCTTTGACTCAAGGCAGAGCCCAGGGAGGTTAACATTGCTCACTCTGAGAGTACTTCTCTTAGAAGCTGAACTTGGAAAAAAACCCCAAACAACTAAAATCAAGGGGATTTTTTTCTTAGAGTTCTGCTAAATAGCATACTCCATGTGCATGAAAAAAATAGCTCTCTTTAGTACAGCAGAAGTTTGGCCCTATAATACACTGAGAAGAGATTTTTCTCACCTGTTGAGAAGGATGGGCTATCTTCTTAGCACCGAGCAATGTCTTATTTCCACTTCCCTTTCCTCCCTGAATACTTGCAGAGGTCTCAGGGGAACTAGCAGTTGTGTGAGACCATGCTCGGTGTCACAAACAATCCCTCCATGGCTGTGCAGGGAGGAAAAAAGACTTGCAAACCACTTCTTACTCTGCATGGACCATGGAGAATATGACTGCTTAGAAATTGGAGCTTTTCTTTCTATTTATCACCCATTTAGAGGGTATGGAAGATATCGTTCCTTCATGTGACCATCCAAAAAGGTTACATACATAAAGCTAACTATAAGGAAACTATGTGTAAAAAAACCCAACCCCAACAAAAAAAAGCACCTTGTAGTGTGCTTATGCTTGGGGTGAGACTTTAATTGCAGAAGGATAAGGATTCTGGAAGAAGCGGATCATGACCCGAAAGTGGCTGCATCCAGCTTGCGCTTGTGCTGTGAGGTCTGAGCTGGCTGTTGCTGTGTTCATACCCCATGAGCAGGCTGGAAGTGCTTTGGGACAGCACTGGCTTAATCTGGCCATTAAAAGAAAAGAAAAGAAAACAAAACAAACTCCCAAAACCCAGCAGGTGGATGCTCTGAGCAGATGGGGAAAGGGCTGCTGCACCAACGCATCCATTAGCATAACACCCAACGGCTGCTGCGTGGCAGCTGCTGAGCTGGGGACGTGGCAGAGAAGTTCCCAGCAGGGATCTGGAAGACTCCAGTGCTGTGATCTCAAGGGATTTGATGCCTGGAGACCTCCAGTCTGCATCAGCAAGATGGTAAATAACCTACATCCCTGCAACCGAAGGGGTTTCACACATCACCACCTCTTAGCTCATGGGTGGCAGGATCAGGCCTTGGCTGTGAATATCTCGTATCAAGGGGTGATGAAGGGTTCCAGTGCTGGCAGCACGATTGCTTTCGTGGTCGATGCATACATCTCATGGCAGTTACAGAGATTTTTTGGGGGAATGTAGTTAGGAGGAAACAAGAAGTTGAAACTCGAATGGAGCTGAAGCTGTCTGGTCCATCTGTGAGTTTCTCTGGGAGAGAGGACCATGCAGGTACCTTCTGCGTGTACTTGCAGAACCATTGAAAGCTGTGGTAGTGGTTAAAAAAAAAAGTGATTGTCAAATTTAAATGATTCTGGCAGTTTTGATATTTCAGAGTTAGGCTGTTTGATTGCCTGTTGCTTTAGTCAGCACAAACTTCAGAAAAGCAGCTACCAGCAGCAGCAGGAGGGAACACCACATTTAAAGCAGTGGGGCAGATCTTCAGCTGGCATCACTCCACTGTCCTCTGTGGATTTTTACTAGGAGAGTTTGGCCTGATGGACACATTTCCCTCGCACATGGGAGCGTCATCATTATTTAAGTTTACCATCTCATTTATGGATGCAGGACGTAAATACAGGCCCCACAGTCCTGTATATAAGGATGGAGAGCTGAGCATAACCTGAGCTGCAAGTGCCATGCTTGTGTCTCTGATGAGTAGGAGCAGTTGTCCTGCACCTCATGGAGTAGCACCTGAATTTATCTTTCCTCCTGAGAAGGAGCAAACTCTATCAGGACTTGAAAAATCACTTAAGTTTGTTGCATAATAATTTCAGCCGCATCTCCAGTAGTCCCCAGTGCTTTGAAATACCACTAAAGCATTCTTGCAGGAGTTTCAATACACACAGCACAGAGGGCAAGTAATGAAAACATGGAAGCAATTTAAATAACAGCATGTGGGTACACAAAGGACTGGTAATGCCAGCAATGTAAAAAAGGGCTGTGAACTGGGGATATAGCATTTATTCAGTGGCCACTTAGGGAGGAAGAAGATATGCCTGTTCCTAAGCTTTCCACTGCTCTGCTAATTAGGCAATAGGGGCTAGTGCCTGATTTCTAAAACTGTGATCCAGGGAGTGGCGGTGATTAGAAGGGGGCTCTGTGGAGAGCCACGCTGCTCATGTACCGAGACCTGGGGTTTTTTGCCTTTGATTCCAGCTGCTACACTATATTAAAAGACGTAAACATACATTAAATACTTTCCTCACGTTGCTTTTCCGTGTGAGCAATTGCCCTGGGGATGTTATGTGATCATGAATGGGAGGGGAGGGAATCCAGGAGAGGATCTTACTGGGTGTGGTTGCTGATGCCCAGGAGTTGGGAGGGAGGCAGGTGGTGAGAGCATCAGCGTTGGGAACCTCTGTTCTGACGGCTTGAATGCTTGGCTGCAACCCAACATCTTTTGGGGTTTCTTTTAAGTCATGACCACGCCAAGTTTCACATCAGCTTCCCTTTCTTGAAAATAAGAGTGAAGGTAGTTTCCTAACCCCTTTCCTGAGGCTGCTCAGAAAGTGAATTGTAGCTTGGGCTGTCCGTGCAGCTGCTTGTGCAACTGGAAAGCGCACAAACATTCTGTAAGCGTTTATTCTTATTTCAACCCTTCGGTGCCTGGGGATGGAGCGGGCTGAACCTTTGCCATTTCTAAACCTGCAAATGGCTCCATTTCATTTAGTCTGATTGGGCAGAGTGGGAAGAAAAAAGCCATGAGCCCAAAGGATGTCCTGCTGGCATGTTGGCAAGCCCTGCAGCTGCTGCTCTCCCTCCTGCAACAGAGTTGCTCGGGTCCAGCGTCCTCAGCATCACTAAAGGCACCTTTTCCTTCAGATAAGGAAACGTGCTGTCAGTCTGGAAGGGCAGTGAAAGTGTGGCACCAAATGCAACAAAGCAATCCATCAGCATTCCTTGCCTGTCGTGTAACATTTAACAAGCCCCAGATGAACAGTATTTTCCTGGTTTTGTTTTATTTCTTTTTTTTTTCCCTCTGCCTGCATTTGCTGCTCTGTCTATTTTCTTTTGTCTGCAAACACTTCGTTTTCCACCCTCTTCTTTCTTTAAGCATAGCCTGACAAAGTTTTGTTGGAGCTTCCATCATGTGCATAATGTCCTGCTCCAGGGGATGTAAACTCATTTTTTTGGTAATTATTATTACACTGGGGTTTTTTGAGAGCTTGGGATGGGTGAATGCATTTTATTACTGAGAGATAAGCGGCAGCAAGTCAGTTGGAAGTAAAGCTTCCTTGTGTGCAGTCAGAGGAAACTGTATCCTTGGATTTTCTTGCAACACTTTTTTTTCCTTTGAGTTCCTGTAGGTATTTGCCATTTCCCTGCAGGAAGCGGTTCTAGGACTTTTTCCCTTGAAATTCAACTCATTGTCTTCCTTTCCTCTGCCCCCCACACACAACTTTCTCCTGCAGTTTGCCTTTCCTTGAGGACTCTTTCATTCACATCCCTTCCCCTTTGCACCCCTCCTTCTTCCAGAAGATCATGAACACTTTCCCCTCCCTCCTTCCCCCTTCTTTGCATCTCTGACTGCGCATTGCACTTTCCCTCCAGGTTCTCATGTGCATCCGCAGCTCTTGTCGGATTACCCCTGTGCCGGACTTCTCTCCCCCGTGATCTGTGTGCATGAGCATCCAATTGCTCATAGTGCGTGCTTATTCCTCTT